TATATATATATATATATATATATATATATATATATATATATATATATATATATATATATATATAACAGCATACTTGATTGGCGTGTCTTTGGTTGCACCAGCAGCAGCAGCAGCAGCAGCAGCAGGTTTAGGAGGAGGAGAAAATAAGTGAGAGGGGCAGCGAACGCCAGCAGCAGCAGCACTTGTTGGGGTTTGCTGCTGCTGCTGCTGCTGCTGCTGCTTCATGCTCATATATACACTCGAAGGTAGAGATGAATGTACACCCAAATCAAAACCTTTATACACAGCAGTAGCAGCAGCAGCAGCAGCAGTAGAAGCAGCAGCAGAAGCAGCAGCAGAAGCAGAAGCAACAGAAGCAGCAGCAGCAACAGAAGCAGCAGCAGCAGCAGAAGCAGCAGCAGCAGAAGCAGCAGCAGCAGCAGAAGCAGCAGCAGCAGAAGCAGCAGCAGCAGCAGCAGCAGCAGCAGCAGAAGCAGCAGCAGCAGCAGCAGAAGCAGCAGCAGCAGAAGCAGCAGCAGCAGCAGCAGCAAATCAGCTTAATGAGGATTAGCATTTATATAGCAGCAAAAACCATCAGCAAAAGCAGCAGCAGCAGCATACACAGCAGCAGCAGAAGCAGCAAGAGCAGCAGCAGCAACTGCAGCAGATACTGCAGCAGCAGCAGCAGCAGCAGCAGACCCCTACCTTGAATGAGTTAAAGCATCTCTATCGCATCAACAACCATCATCATAAGCAGCAGCAACAGCAGCAGCAGCAGCAGCAGCAGCAGCAGCAGCAGCTCTCACCCTCGAACCAAATCAAAGAGTTAAAACATTTATTATTTTCTATTTCATAAACTAATTTTTTTCTGCAGCAGCAGCAAAAAACAGCAGCAAAAAGGCAACAGCAAAAAAACAGCAGCAGCAGCAACAGCAGCAGCAGCAGCAACTGCAGCAGCAGCAGCAGCAGCAGCTCTTACCCTCAAACCAAATCAAAGAATTAAAACATTTATTATTTTCTATTTCATAAACTAATTTTTTTCTGCAGCAGAGAGAGAAACCGCCGTTATATATGCGGAGACACCGCAGATAGCCACCAAGAAGAAGAGGCAGCAAACAAGACAATACAGATATACTCATCCTATAAAAAAAAAATAAATAAAATAAAATAAAAATAAATTATATTTATTTATTTTTATTAAATAAAATAAAAATATTTAGC